CCTCATCTTGTCAAGCTTCACGGATGCTGTATTGAAGGAAATCAACTATTGCTTGTCTATGAGTACATGGAAAATAATAACATTGCTCGTGCTTTGTTTGGTAAATACTACACTTGTATGCCTAAACTTCATTTGGTTCATGCAGATGGGTATAAAAGATCTTATACATAAAAAATGTCCCTTATAACTAACTTTGAGTAATTTGACAAATTGAAGGGCCAGAAGAAAGTCAGTTGAAGTTGGATTGGCCAACAAGGCACAAGATCTGTGTTGGTATAGCTAGAGGTTTGGCTTACCTCCACGAGGAATCAAGATTGAAGGTCGTTCATAGAGACATCAAGGCTACTAATGTGCTGCTTGATAAAAACCTTACCCCAAAGATATCTGACTTTGGATTGGCCAAGCTTGATGAAGAGGATAATACACACATTAGCACCCGTATTGCTGGAACTTAGTGAGTCCCTGTGCTATTTTGTTTATTTCTGTTGGCCAAGCTTGATGAAGAGGATAAGACACACATTAGCACCCGTATTGCTGGAACTTAGTGAGTCCCTGTGCTATTTTTTTTATTCTGATTTCTTCCACCCCGATGATGGGTCCATAGAAATAGGAAACAGATGGAAGGTTTATACTGTTAAAACAAATTTGAAGGCTTAGTAGTATTTTTCCTATTTCTCTAAGCTAAATATGGGGGAATGATGTGCGGTTTCATGTTTTTGCAGTGGATATATGGCACCCGAATATGCAATGCGGGGTTATCTGACTGACAAAGCAGATGTTTATAGCTTTGGAATTCTTGTATTGGAAATTGCTAGTGGGAGGAACAACACCAGTTACCGTTCAAAGGAAGAAAGCCTTTATCTTCTTGATTGGGTAAGATGATTCTATTGCTTCCTTATTTAGCTTTTAAATTTAATCTGGTACTGTTTATCTCTATTATGTATTTGTGGATGCATCAGCACATTATGTTACACTGTATTTAACTTTAGGCACATCTACTGAAAGAGCAAGGGAATTTGATGGACCTAGTGGATCCAAGGTTGGGCTCAGACTTCAACAAAGAAGAG